GTGTTCTCTTAAATGAGATAAATGTTTTGATAATTTATACGCCAAAAATGGTAGAAACTGAATGAGAAATTGATTCTCAGAGTTAACCCGTTAATAAAAGAATATGGTAAGGATTGCAATTTTTTGCAATTTTACTGAGCCAATCTTCTATTATTAATTTTACGTATTGTTTAAAATTAGTCCTTTTTACGGAGTTAACTGGCCATTAATCTCCAATTATTCGGGACAAATTTTAAATGGAGCGTAGCGTGACGGACGTGTTAATGGCTAATTAATCACCATTAACACGTCATTATTGTGCCACAAATGTCATGGATTAATGGTGTAGGAGTTACACTTTTTAAAATTCCTTAGTTATAAATATCAAGGGCTCTCCATTGTTTAGTGTGGTGTGTTTTATGTGTGGGTTTCACACCTGAGGAAGGAAAAAAAAGAAAGGGAAAACTTTCTTGTTTAATTTTAAGAGAGAGCTCTTGATTTTCCGGCCAAATTTCCGGCTATCCCCTTCAAAGTTTTTTGGTCGCCAACGTTCCTACGTTGTTTTTGTTCGTTGGTGTGTGGTTGGTCCGTACATCTCCACACATGATAGCGGTTTTATCCTGGGAGGAGTGCCCACGTTTTTCCGGTACGGTAGGCGGGCACTACTACCTTAAGGACAGCTCCGGCGACTCCGCTGTCCTTCACGGTGTTTTGTTTTGCAGGTTTAGTTCATAAAGACCTCGTTGCATTCTGCCCTAGTGCATAATGTCCTTGCAGCCCAGTGCATAATGTCCTTGCTGTCCAGTGCATAATGTCCTCGATGTTCAGTGCTTAATGTCCTCATACAACAAGGCTGTTTGAAGATATATAAATTTATTTTCAATTCTGTTTATCTTGTAATATTCTGAATAAGTTATAAATTCAGAATATTTTTTATTTTCCGAGGCCGTTCATCTTCCCCGTCCGTTGTAATCCGTACAAAAATTGTAACAATCTTAAGGTAGTAGACATATCCGTGCGCAATGGCGGGTATGGACGGATTCGGTTTTGACGCTCACACTGGAAACGGGAGTAGTTCCGAGACTCCAGTTGTGAACGTTTCGACTGGATTGGGTGGCTCTGTAGGGCAGACCACTCCGATCAACATTCCTTCATTAGATCGAGCGCGACTATGGGGTCCGCTCTGGTCACCTCGGTTGACCAACCGCGGCTACAGCCGCAATGGTCACCCCACTCGGACCGAATATGGCTTCGGCCATACCGGTCATTCTCTCACTTGGACCGAACACGGGTGTCTTCACATCCGCACCGGTCGGACATCCTACTGTTATGCTGCCTGCGAACTCTGTCAAAGAACCGACGAAGGATGTTATTTTGGCTGACCACCCTCAACCTTGCGAGATACTTGAGGGAGGATCCCCCTGTTGTGGGGGAGAACGAAGACGAGCCAACAGTCCAGGCCAATGTGGTGGAGCATCCACTCAAAGAGGGTTCTTCCAAAGGGCCTACGCCAAACAAGGACAAGAAGAAAATTGGTCCTAAAGGAGACTATTTTATCTAGCAATTATTTGTTAAATAAAATACCCTGAAAAAAAACTCGTTAAGACTCCTTACGAGTTGTGGTGTAATAGGAAACCTTCCTATAAATACCTGAAAGTGTAGGGGTACCTTGCAAAAGTTTTAGCACCACCACCAAAGAAAATAAAGATTGGTCCAAAGACCGTTGATGGAATCTTTATTGGCTACAGTGGTAGTGCGTATCAGTTCTTAGTGTATAGGTATGATAATTCAGAAATACATAAGAACACATGAAAAGAGTAACATGTATAATGGTAAGTCTAGACATATTCGTCGTAGACACAAAACCATTAGACAACTTCTCACAACTGGGATTATTACAATTGACTATGTGAAGTCAAAAGATAATCTGGCGGATCCGCTAACCAAAGGGTTAACAATTGAGTTGCATGAGAAGTTGGTGGTAGGAATGAGTTTGAAGCCCTTGTGCTAGGATAGTCCTATGAAGGAAAATCCAACCTGGCTGGTACCCAGGTTCAATGGGACAACCTACTTGTAGGATTAAACATGGTCACTGTGGGGGCGGTACCGGAACCTCCGGTCAGTCCCTTCTGTTCCTGCTGAAGACAGTGCCTCCCGAAAATGATGAGGCTAGCATATAAATATGCTTTAATGATTCTTAATCAATAGAGACGGTGGTCTAAGTGGAGTAATCGGGATACTCTTAAAGAATCACCTATGTAAGAGTGAAGTGTGGTCGCTTCAAACGGAGGATCTTGGGCTTAATCCTCTAAACACTCTCGTAGAACCAGGCGCGTGTCCCACGACCAAAATGGGCACAACCATGAGAACAGAATGACGTTTGGTTAGAATTTGTGTATTGTATACTATCGTTTACACAAGCAGCAGTACAGTTCAAAGACATCGCGTTCTACTGAACAGCCAGTAAAGAATGTATACTTTACAAGGGACATGTTCAAAAGTGAAGACACTTACATGTTCTATGCAGATTTTTAACCGTGAGATGTTGTCGACCCTAAATCAATTTTTCATTCATGTGGGAGATTGTTGGAACTTTTGGCATTTTTAATAGGCATTAAATGGACCAACTTGGGTATATTTATCAATAGGTCCACTAACGGTTTTAACCGTTAATTAATGGGCGTGTGTTCTCTTAAATGAGATAAATGTTTTGATAATTTATACGCCAAAAATGGTAGAAACTGAATGAGAAATTGATTCTCAGAGTTAACCCGTTAATAAAAGAATATGGTAAGGATTGCAATTTTTTGCAATTTTACTGAGCCAATCTTCTATTATTAATTTTACGTATTGTTTAAAATTAGTCCTTTTTACGGAGTTAACTGGCCATTAATCTCCAATTATTCGGGACAAATTTTAAATGGAGCGTAGCGTGACGGACGTGTTAATGGCTAATTAATCACCATTAACACGTCATTATTGTGCCACAAATGTCATGGATTAATGNTATACGCCAAAAATGGTAGAAACTGAATGAGAAATTGATTCTCAGAGTTAACCCGTTAATAAAAGAATATGGTAAGGATTGCAATTTTTTGCAATTTTACTGAGCCAATCTTCTATTATTAATTTTACGTATTGTTTAAAATTAGTCCTTTTTACGGAGTTAACTGGCCATTAATCTCCAATTATTCGGGACAAATTTTAAATGGAGCGTAGCGTGACGGACGTGTTAATGGCTAATTAATCACCATTAACACGTCATTATTGTGCCACAAATGTCATGGATTAATGTAGGAGTTACACTTTTTAAAATTCCTTAGTTATAAATATCAAGGGCTCTCCATTGTTTAGTGTGGTGTGTTTTATGTGTGGGTTTCACACCTGAGGAAGGAAAAAAAAGAAAGGGAAAACTTTCTTGTTTAATTTTAAGAGAGAGCTCTTGATTTTCCGGCCAAATTTCCGGCTATCCCCTTCAAAGTTTTTTGGTCGCCAACGTTCCTACGTTGTTTTTGTTCGTTGGTGTGTGGTTGGTCCGTACATCTCCACACATGATAGCGGTTTTATCCTGGGAGGAGTGCCCACGTTTTTCCGGTACGGTAGGCGGGCACTACTACCTTAAGGACAGCTCCGGCGACTCCGCTGTCCTTCACGGTGTTTTGTTTTGCAGGTTTAGTTCATAAAGACCTCGTTGCATTCTGCCCTAGTGCATAATGTCCTTGCAGCCCAGTGCATAATGTCCTTGCTGTCCAGTGCATAATGTCCTCGATGTTCAGTGCTTAATGTCCTCATACAACAAGGCTGTTTGAAGATATATAAATTTATTTTCAATTCTGTTTATCTTGTAATATTCTGAATAAGTTATAAATTCAGAATTTTTTTTATTTTCCGAGTCCGTTCATCTTCTCCGTCCGTTGTAATCCGTACAAAAATTGTAACAATCTGCACAAGCTAAATATTGTACCATGCTCATCACTCATACTCTTCTTCATTTGGAGCGTGAAACTTAAATTTTGAGTTTCTCCTTTTCTATTCCCAATTATTAGAGAAATGATTATGGTTGTTGTGTTGTCAGTCTTCTGTTTTCTTGAAGTTATATTACGCCACCAAGTTAAGAGATTCGAATTTCATACCTCATGACTCTTCGCCTCATTGCTTTGATGTTTTTAGGTAAAACTAACCATTTAAGGGGTCCCAAGCCATCTTTGTCTTGTTGTTTTCTCCTTCTTTATAAGACAAACTTAGCTACCTCTTTTGTGATCCCATCGAATACTCAGACATGGCCCTTGAAGTCCATACTTTTTTTCATGGGTTGGAGGCATGATTTTATCTACTTCGGACAATTAAACTCTAGCACTCGGAGTCTGATTGCTTTTTCTTCAAATGGCAGTTTATCGATCATTGATTCTCGAAGTTTGTTTGGTATTGCATAATAACACACATGGAGCGGAACTTAAGGCGGGCTGGGGGAGCTAGGGGTGGGGCTAGGGTGGAGTGTTTAGGGGGTGGGTTGGGACGGGATAGGAACCATTAGTTTTCTGATTGAAACACCGGAGGTGCTCCAAAAATATAGTGGTACCACTAATGTCACTGTTGGCGTACAATGGTGGCCATGAGGCGATAGTAGTAACGATCTAGCACTAGAAGGAGATATCAAAACATCCTAGATTCACATCTTTTAAAATTGAGATGTATCTAAACACATTGAATTGATATTTTTATCTCAAAATTATTCTCTCAATTTGATTTTAAAAAATTTAAATTGACGAACAACAAACTGACATAATATATACCATACAATCAGTTCTACAGTGTTTCTCTTACATCTGTTGTGTGTATTCATTTATGATTAACTGAATACTCATTTTCAAACAATTCAAAACGTATTTTTCTTAAATCAAATTATATATAAAAATGAATATTCATTTGCTCAAAAATTAGTATATATATGTGTGTGTGTATGTATGTATGGAATACTAGTAACCGGGATGCTCTTTTCACAATTTTTTCTACTCCGTATAAGTCAAGAGAGAGAGAAACACCATTTTCTTTAGCGTAGCTTTCCATAGTAGCCCCTTCTCTTTTCCTACCCCGGAGGAATTTTTTAACAATTTCCTTGATAAATCCCACACCCAGTTGGCCAATTGTCTCTCTTCGTCGCCGGCTGCCCCTCTCCCTGCAAAGCTGGCGCCAAAGAGTACTCATCACGCTCATGTCTTTCTGCACATAGATACGTAAGCACTTCAACTCTATTTATTTCTTTATTTAATTCTTAATGTTCATCCAAAATTTAATGCTGTAATTTTTGTGCTAAAACTTTTTTCTTTTAAAAATAATCAATACTTTTATTTTCCGCGCGTGTGTGGGCGCATCGGCATGACAATGCATTTCTCGATCGTATTCCGCCGTTTGAATCCATCGTCACTTGTACATGATCGAGTTCATGTGCCGTGTGTCGTTGTTGTGTTTTCCAGAATTTTCACGAAGGTACTTGCACTGGTAGGATTTCGGATTCGATCAGTGGCGATCCCGGAGCGAGGTCCGAGATTCTAGTTGCTCTAGGCGAATTTTGTGGAATTTTCCGAGAATTTGGAATTTTTCTCATGGCGAATTAGCTTTGGAACAAATAGGAGTTGCAGTTGGATTCTCAGCGAAATTGAGCGAGGATCCATTTATGTTTTTCTTGGAGTCAGCGTTTTGCGGTGATGAGCCGTGGATCCATTTGTATAAGCTTGGTTGAAGTAGCGGAAGTGAAGATATTTGAGTCCTAGCTTTCGGATTTTCGATAATCTTTTGCAAGTCTTTTTAGCTCTGGCTGGACAGTGGGGGTCTAAGATATTTCGAAGACCATCCGACGATGTCCAAAGTGGTGTATGAGGGATGGATGGTGAGATATGGACGAAGGAAGATAGGGAGATCATTCATTCATATGAGATACTTTGTTCTGGAGACTCGGTTGCTGGCTTACTACAAGAGGAAGCCTCAGGACAATGTGGTATGCTCTCAGAATTCTGTTCCTGTGTTTTTTTTAAATTTATAGAATTCACATTTCCACAAACTTTTTCCCTCTACTTGGAAGGCCAGTTGATAAAAAACTATGCACAATCACAACAACAATAACATACCCAACGCAGTCCCACGAGTGGGCATAACAGACTATGTATCTTTATCAACAAGTTGGTTGAGTTGAAAAAAACAAGTTGATTGAGTTGAATTTTTAAAATTTTGAAATGTATGTTATTAGAATTAATTGCAATATATGCTATGCTCAATGAATTAGGAGAAACAGCGCGCACTCTTATAAAAGAACTTTAAACATTAACAATTATTTTCTTTTGTTATTCTTAGAAATTTGAACCAGACATTTCGCTTTCGAGTATGGAGTTTGAAGCGGGGGATTGGGGTGAGGATCCCCCAGATATTGTAATTTTCCACTCTTACTAATGATTAATATTGTCCCTTGGTCCAAAACAATTAAATTAAAATTAGGTCCCAATCAAGACACTTCTCATAGATGGCAATTGTCGGGTTGAGGACCGTGGGTTGAAGACTCAGCATGGACACGTGAGTTGTTCTCTGCTTAGTTGTTTTGTCAATAAGAGTGATCATGTTGTAATACTTTTTACTTCTCTAAGCTGCACATGTTTTTTCATTCTCTTGGCATTAAGGAATTTCAAAGTATTGTCAGTATTGTTCTCAAATGTAGTGTGAGGGGTGGGTATTTTGATTGTAGCTATAGTGCTTTTCCTGTAAGTAATTTAATTGTCAGTGCTGATTGGAGCCTGCAAGAGGTTGGACAGTATGCTGTATATATCTCTGGAATCATTAATCCTTTTTGTCATCTTTGCAGATGGTCTATGTCTTGTCTGTTTACAACAAGAAAGAGAAGTATAATCGTATCACGGTATTCATTATTCTTTCACAAGCACTATGATGGCAATCGGTTTATTGATTGATTAACTTGGAATACTGCAAGGATTGCATAGGAGTTAAATTATGGACTTTCTTAAATTTCCATTTAGAACCACATTTATCAGTTTGAGCACTGGACATATTGTTTTTCGTTGTCTTACTCTAGCCTGCATAATAGTTGGATTTTATCATGCTAAACATGTGTTTGTGTGTGGGGGTGGGGATGGGGTTTTAGTATCTCCTCTATAGCTTAGTTTATAACATTTTCTTGAGATGAATGAGAATATTTTTAAATAGAGAATAGAATAGTCAAATATCTTTGCATGTTTATCATCAGTGAGATTGGAACTCTTTGTTGTGAAAAGTAGTTTACTTTTGATAGATTTTTTCCCTCCTAAACACTTCCACGGCATACATTCTACATTCTACACTGTACAATGTCACTTAAATGACTTAATAAGACTAATGTTACTAATATATTCACCTACACACCCACAAACACAAACTTTAAGCCCTATAGAATAAAAAATACAATAGACATCAACGAAGCTGCTGCTTTCATGAATACCAAGATATTTGTCTTAGAAACATGAGGTGTCCTACAAATTAGGCTATGTTTGGTTTTCCAGAAGACCATCCAGCTATTAGACTTTTTAGAGGGAGCTTTTCAAATAAACCATGTTTAGTTGAACTGCTGAAGGAGCTTATTTGATGGGCTCAAGTTTATTTCAAAAAAACCTTCTATTACTAGAATGGTAGTACGAACTTACTTTTCATGATCACTTTTCTTGATATGAATCGTAGTACAATGGCTTGTCTTAATAACCAATCTATGGATACAGTCCAATTTATGAATAAGACTAGCAAACTGTAAAAGTTCACTTTAAGTAGTTACATGTATATAACAAGTTTTGGTTGTTATCTAAAGTATTGTTTGATGTTATCTTTGTTGAATAACAAAATAATAACAGTAATAATAATAATAATAATAATAATAATAATATTGTTATTATTATTTACTTTAAACTGGCAACTTGATTAATTTGCAAAGCCTGTTAATGCTTATATAGAGAAACAATAGACCTAAACTTAATTGGAATCTGAAACTATAACTCTTACAAAACTAGGAAAGTCAGACTCTGCTTAGTATACTTCAACATCCCCCTCAACTCCTCAAGCATGTTTCAAGCTTGATTCAAAGCTTGTCATTGAAACTTGGTCTAATTATCTGAATAACTTGAATTGATTTAATGGAGCTTATGAACAGGAGTTGATTGGCTTGGCAAAGGCTATAGTTTACTGGGGATCCTACTTATGGTTTTTTTGGGGGGGGGGGGGGG